TAATTCTTGCTCGATAATTGTTTTGTTATATGTAATTTTACCATGAGAAAGTTAAAACCTTCCTTTTTAAAAAAAGAAGAAAAGGGGAAGTTCTGTGGATATCACTCTATATAAATAAAACAATGATGGCCAGTGACCAGACAGGAAGTATAGGTGGGACAAAGAGAGAGGAGAATTGGGGAAACAGGAAGAAGGGGAGAGACACTGCAGCCACCGCCAGGACGAGCAGCATGTAAAGATGCCGATAAGCCACCAGCCATGTGGCAAGGTATAGATTTATAAAAATGGGTTAATTTAAGATAAAAGAACAGTTAGCAAGAAGCCTGCCACGGCCATACAGTTTATAAGTAATATAAGTGTCTGAGTGATTATTTTGTACGTGGATTGTGGGACTGCGGGGCTTGGTGGAGCCTGGAGAGAAGCCCTCCAGCAACAGGATGTAACAAGATGTTTTTTAAAGGGCTTCTGTGAGCTAGGGCTTTGCCCTAAGTTAAGATGGCTGGAGACAAAGCTAAAACCCTCACTGGCCCAGGCTCCAGCCACCCAGCCCTCCAGTTCCCAGACACCAAGCCAACCATGTATACTTACAAACAGACGTTTCAAACTTCCCATTTTTTCCAAAGATCTGAGAAAGTCATGTGATGTATGTGAAGGATGAAAGAGAGCAGATCTGTGTTCAGTGATGGACAGTTATTTTGTTTGCTCCTGGTAACATTGACAAACACTGACTCAAAGGGCTATGGTCAATCAAAATGACTGCTTGGGAAACTCACAGATTGGGATGTGTTTAGAACTGTTTTGAGTTTTGTGCCTATGCTATATCTAAATGTCAAAAAAGGTTATTGATTTTTATAAATAGTGGCCTTCTCATCCTAATATTTATAACATATATTTTCTGTTTTCCTATTGGGTAGAGCCACATGCTTAGATAGCCCCTACCTCAAAAACAGTCTTTAAATTCCAAGTACCCACTTCCTCCACCCACCACCTTTACTTCTTTAAACTACACTATGTTATTAATTATTTTAATTTCAAAAACTCACACATGAAAGTGTTACTTTAAATACAAAGGACAAAACCAAAAGATTCAGACTGGTTCATAGAGGCTAATAGATCCGTACAACCCAGACATTTCTCTCTTGAGCCTCTGGTAGTTATTTCTCTGTCTGGAAGGCCTGCCTTCCTGATTATCCAACCTCATCATTATCAGACAGAAGTTAAGCTCTTAGCCACTGGCTTCCAAGATCTCCACCTGTGCTGGAACTTCAACAAGCCACACCTGTGCCCTCTAACCACAGACATGGTAAGTGTGGAAAGGAAAGAAGGTATAGGTCTCAAGCCAAAATTATCTTGGGCTATTTAGCTTTTTAATAGCCAATCCATTACCTCCTCTTTTTGTGACTTGACATTATTGTTCTAAAACTGCATAATGAAATTAACTCCAGGGACATCTATAAAAATCCAATTTTATTAAGACCTCTCTTCACCCTCTGAGGATTTTCCCACAACCTCCCCAATCTACTTTCAAACGTCAAAAACACACCCTTCCACCCACTTCATTCCCTCTTAATAAATTCAAAAATTTCAAATTTCTTCCTGGGTCTCTAGATCTACACCAGGTCATTCCTTAAATACATTCTTATGCTGGGCGGTGGTGGC